CGGAAGGAAACTCCACAGAGCACTTCAGAGGAGCCTGGGAGGGAACCTAACTTTGGTCGATGACAGATAGCAACCACAGAGCCTTTCCAGGACAATTTCACGTTTCTTCCTGTTGAATAGGAAGCTTTGTAGATCCTGATAACAGGAGACATGAGACATACACAGGGACACACCTAAACTGCTCTGAAGTCAGAGCCTCCTTCCACTTTGGGACTGAAAACTGAAGACCTCTCTGACAGAAGGCTCCAAATGGAGAAGAAAAACTCATTTTTCAGTGTAGCCCAGTGTAAAAAGGTCCCTGGAAACCCTTACAGTCCAAGTATGTGTCCCAGTGTTTTGCTGCACGTCAGAGGGTCCACCCACCTGGTGCCAGCTCTCCACCTACTCCACGCAGCAGAAGGCCCTGGGAGTAGACAGTGTACTGGCTGAGGTCCCCCAACTGAAACATCTACCATAACCTTCGGTGAACAATGCCCGCCCGTTATCCAAGTTGCCTTAAACTCACCTTCTACTGAAGCTATGTTAATGTCCAATTCTAATAAAATACTTTATTCACAACATCTAGTTTCAGCAAAGCAGTTACAGATGCTTGTGAAAGACAGAAGTGAAAAAAAAAGAAAACCAAAATTAAACCACTTAGACTAAAAATAACCAGAAAGTTCTTTCTCATTCCCTTATTGCTCTGAAGTGCTGTCCTCTCCTGGCAGGGTGCTACACAGAGCTTCATTCTCCAAGCACACCTTACCTTATGCCTTGTTGCATCTGTTAAGGAGAGCCCTCCATGAGAAAGTCTGCATCACAGTGCACACTCATTTTGACAGCTCTGGGAAGCTCCTTGGCTGGGGAAGGCTCCTTCCCAACCCCTTTGAAGGGGGTTCAGACAGATTTAATCCTTCACTGTGAATCTCACAGTACTTATTCCTTGTCCAGGAGATAGTTTGGCCATTTGTCTTCATTAAAATAAAGACTGCTTCACTCCCTTGGAGATGCAAATATTTCTTCCTCAGATGGGTGGGAACTACTCTGTTTGACCGACTGGTTAACACTTTGTTGCCTCAGGAAGTTCCCTTTTCTTCCCTCTAGTGACTCACTGGCATGTTTAACTATGGAATGTATCTTACACAGAATCTTGTATTTTGTAGTAGTCTGTACATTAACTAGTGTACTTGTTGCACCCATCTATATGGGATTAATACATGTAGAACATTGCTGGCGTTTGGCTGAGACCAGACACAACAGTAGTTGAGTGGGTAATCTTTAACGTCTTTCTCTCGTAGGCACACTCAACATCCAGATTCTGCTGGGCTGCATGGACAGATCCCAGAGCTGTTACTTCCCATACTATGCTATATTCTAGAAGAGCCTACATTTCATCAACCTCGCCGAAGCTGGACCTCTGTCCAGCAAGGAGAAGTTATCAATATGGTTTGTCAGGATGTGCAGTGTCCTAGCAAGAGAAGTGCTCATGCCCTTCCTGGGAGGCACTATTGCCATCAGCACCCAAAGCAGTATTCCCCAACTCCTCACGGTCTCCTGCTGCATGTGTGGTGCATGAGAAAAAGCATCATTTCAGACTGTCTCAGCTGTGGAATCAGAGGGGAAAGACCATGGCAAAGCAATGTGCACAGGGTCTACAGTATTTCCTGATGGGTTAGCAACTTCCCTTCTCTTTCAGCGGAGACCAGGTGTACATTCTAGCAATGGCTGTCACCCCTACAGTGGTTTTACACCAAGTCAACATGCAGTCAGCCAGCCACTTTATGAGTCACAGTGTGAAAGCTGCTGAACGCCCAGACTTCCCCATGGTAGAAAAAAAAATTGAGAGAATTTGTGAAGAGTGTGGAGGAGGTCTTGAAACACTTTCTGATCATCCATCTCAGTAAAGAGATGACTGGTCCCTGAGAGATATGAGAAATGTTTATGACCTTACAAACCAAGAGTTTTGCATCAACTGCTGCTGGTGGGTAATGGTGAGCAGAAGACCTTTAACTACATGGACCAGACTGAAGGCCAACCAGCTAGCTTCCACTGAACCTCTGAGTTACCATGCTTGTGCACTAAACAGTGATATCTCTCTCAAACGCTCCAGCATACTTTCATCATCTGGTGATAGCTATGATAAAAGAGAGAGCAACCTAGGAGTACATCTACACAAATAAGACCTTGATGGAAGAGAGACCTAGCTCCTGCTGCTGAAACAATGGTGCTACAGAGGCAAAGCAGGAAGGAGGCCCATAAAACCTTGCGAGAGACATGTATGCTGGCACCATGTCCCCATGACAAATGCTGCCAGTGTTTATCTTGATACTCCCAGCAGCAGCTGCAGCAATGACAGGATAAATAAGCAGTCAGGACAAGTCAGCAGGTGCAGTCAGTGAGCTGTCCAGTCTATGAGACTTGCGATAAACATTACCCACGCCAATGCAGCTCTATCATAGGAAAGATGGGGACTGCAGTTTTATAGCATATTGTCTTTGACTTATCATATGGCTCAAAGCCAAAGAATACTTCCTGAGTGTCAAGGTGCAATCCCACTGTTAGACAGCAAGCCTTGCATGCCAAATGTGACTTTATGGTGACTGCATGGCTCAGCAGGTCCAACTTTGCAGCACAGTCAAGGAAGAAAGTGCATATCCAACACGAGACTGGACAATCTGCCTATGGATAGTCCTGCACTAGCAGTTTTGCAGGGACAAAGGTCAGAGCCAATTAGTCAGATTAAATCAAAACAGTGTCCGGACATGCTCATAACAGGGCTGGATGAGGCTTCATCACACACTTCAACAAAAGGGTGCATTCAGCTTCTGCTTTGTCTGAGGCCTAGATGACACCACTTTGAGGAAGCATAGGCATTTGGGATGTGAATCTGATAGTGCAATATAGCCTAACTAGAGCAAAAATACTCCCAAGCAGTATCATCAAACCAATAAACTAGCAAAAAGCAGTATCTACACAGCTAGTAGACTTTCAGGCAGCAGCATATTCTAACAGAGCAGGCTGAAAGAAACTGAGCTTGCCAGGAACACCAGCTAAGCTGGAGGAATGGAGGGGCCAGAGTGCCCCCGTACATGCTGCAGGAGAATCCTGTTGTCTCACAAAAGGCTACAGCCCTCATGGAAGGTGTGGGAGGCTTAGAAATGCGTGATTCTGGACTCCAGCACAAGAAACAAGAGCAGCCTAACTTCAAAGCCAGTTGGGCTTAGGACTACTCTGGTGAGGAGCTTTCTCATCTAAACAGAACTTGAATAAGTGCTCCCTAAAGCAAGGACCAGAACACAGAAATCCCACTTCTACCCTCTCTTTTATTCTCTGTTATTCTGAGAACCATATTTCTTGCTGCATAGCAATCCCATTGCAGTAGCTGAGAGCACATAGGTGGTTTGGGCATTCTCCCAAAAAGGACTGGTTCGGAGTGACCTCTGGAAGTCTCCAGCCCAGCTACTTACTCCGAGCAGGATCACTGCTAACAACAGATCAGGTCAGCCACAGCTTTCTCTAGCCAGGTTCTGAGATCTCCCAAGGATGGAGATTCCACCACCTCCCTGGTCAGCCTGTGCCAGGGCTATCCTGCCTTCCTAGGGAAAATTGCTTTCCTGATTTCTGATCTGGACCTACCAAGCAGGATGTGGTTATTGGCCCTTGTTATATTGTCTGTAACGTTTGTGAGGAAAGTAAAAAGCTGCCTGACATTATTGAGAAACTGAGTCCAGGCCATCTACCCTTCTGAGGTAGGGTTCCTGTGACAAGAGCTTTTATCACATAAAAACCAGGCTCTGCTTCTTACTGGTTTTATCTGACCTCAACCCAGTGGATGTGAGTAAGGGTCCATCACCATGATGGCTCGGGACTGAGTTTAATCACCTCCACACCCACCTCCGAATTGCAGTGGGGACAGGGCGTCTAACTCCTACTGATCTCCCTAACCGTGCAAGGGATGCTGCCCACGAGCCAGAGCAGACTATGCTTGAAAATGAAGGCAGCGTTTAATGGTAATGTGCCTTCTGGAGGGTCCTATGAGATGTCAGTGAATAAAACTCAGGTAAATAATGACTTGGCCAAGTCCTAAGCCAAAGGCTTCTGAAATAAAACACATCAGTCCCTGAATGGACCGTGAGGCACGTTGTGACAGCCCATGGCTCTCCTTGCACTCACAGTGAGTCAGAAAGAGGAATGCCAGTGGTCATTCCTGATGGCTTTGACTCCATTGTGAACAAGGTGAACTCCTGCTGTCCTTTCCTCCCCTGTCATTCTGTCATTCTTTCTGCTAAAGAAATCTGTTTTTGCTGGTCACAAGTCTCTGTTTTGCAATGCTGTTCTGAGCTCATGACGAGAAAAGCAGGTAGACACAGAGGCTTAGGTAAGCCAGAGGTGATACAAGTTTGACAGGTCTTGAGAAGCTGATAAGATCGTGAGTTAAGTCTGCTTCTCTACTAGCATGACAGCGAATAAAACACACAAATACAGACTGAAAATTCTGTCTTTGATGTCCCATTACATGTGTCTGTCTTCCCTTGTCTCCATGGGCAAGCTGACTCTGACTTGAGCAACTTTTCAATTAACTATTTCTGTTTTCCCCAATGGTGCTTTAGTGATACCTGACATTCTATCAAACTACTTTACATATATGTACATATATAGACATAAATATCTCCAGCTTAAGGGGAAGGAATAAGGAATATGGTAAAATAAGGAATGTGGTAAAAATTATATCCTTAACAGTGTTTTATATTATAAAACATGTATGGCAGGGGTGTTTCTACTTTACATTCTCTGTCTTTTGTAAAAGCTTCAGATGTTTTCTAATGGTCAGAATTAAGATGACAAACGATCAGAAGACTAAATCTTCTTATAATAATTTTCTTTCATAGGGTGGCAGGGTCATATTAATTCCTTTGACTCTGGGCCTACTTTGTCATCAAAATGAACTTGAGACACAATTTCCTGCAACAGATCTGTACTGCTAGGGTGGCACATTTACTGGAGCCCCCACCCCCACTTACCATTTGTGAAGGTGTTCACGTAGTACCTTCGGCCCTGGGGAGACATATAGCTCTGCCAGCCGGGGGGAAGATGGCTGTTCAAGGTATCTTCTCCTGTCTGAGGAGTTGCCTTTCTGGGTTTCTGCTGAGAAAAGAAAAAAAACCCAACCTATTAAGTCAATATCTAAGTAATGTCAAGTCTAACCAGACACACATCTGGAAAGGGACCATGTGGTTTGGCATTCTAGGGATTGCAATACACCCAAAGACTTTCAGTCCATTTCTCCCCTCATCTGTCCTAGCTTCATCCAGAGCATGAAGCAAGCTTCCCTTGGAGCACAGGCTACAGAGAACATCTTTGGGAGAGAAATGAAACCCCTCTGTATTTGATGTCCCATGAGCACCTGGACCTGTCCAAGAAAATGACTCTCATTAAGCAGTAAAATGCAAAGCATAAAATGATCAAGTGTCTGAGAAAGAAAGGAATGCATCTGGCACTCACTTACTTTCATGTGGATATACTGGTGGCTCAAAGCACTGGTCATGGAGGTGCTGCCCCAATTTAATTTACAGGGAAACCATCACCTTCAGACTTTTCAAGAATAAACACTGCAGAGCCATGTTGCCTACAGTGGTAGTGTGCTGAAGTACATTTATCAGTATGCTGATTATATAGTAATAATGCATGTAATTAGCAATGCATACATTACTGATCCAGATGTAATCTGGATCCATAACATCCAGATACAGGATCATTAGGATCCAGATTATTAGGAGTGATCCAGATCATTAGGAACAGCAGGAGATTAACATCATGCTGTCACCTGCTCTACAGGCACACACAGAACTGCTATCAGGGTTCAAGCGCCACCTCAGCTGTACATCTCTTCACCAACTCAGTTGCAAGCCTCAGTGCAGGTTCAGGGTACAACGAAGAGAAAGAGGTGAAGCTGAAGTGCAAGTAATTGTCTGCACTACATTGCATCACCTGGACTATTTCCTTCTTCCCTGTAGGTCTGGTGGTTCCTTGGTAGCTTGGGATTTACAGCAGCTGCTTGATGTGAGACTGGCAAAGAGGGCTTCATCCCAAAGGAGGCATGAACCCCGTCTGGTCCCTTCAGCCAGGAACACTGAATAAGGCAAAGGTAGAAAGATAAGATGCATGGCCAAAGAGTGCCAGTTGCAGCCCTACAGGGCTGCAGCTAGGAACCCAACAGCCTCCTTCTGGCTCACATCCAGAGAGCTCCACTCTGCCTTTCCACATTCCCTATGGCAAACCAAGCATGCAATGTACTCATTTTTTGTTTGTTTGCATTGCCTTCAAAGGAAGAAATACAAAAGAACAAGGAAAAATGTGTGAAATGGGATTATTTATCCCATGGAACCTAATCTCTATCCAGGAAATGCCTTCCGACACAGTGGGGGACAGGTCTGAAGTGACTGCACTCGATTCACAAGCAGTCACGTCCAGGGGACAGGCAGAGTTTCAGCATCAGTCTGCATATAATGTTCAAACATTGACAGATGTGAACAGTACTATCAGAAAGAAACCTGTGATGTGGTGTTCTCCTACACACATCCAGTCTCTGAGTTAAATTCCATCTCTGTTCCAACCCAGAATAAAAGGGACATTTAATGATTTTGGAGCCAAAAGTCTATTTTATGTTTCTTTTCAGTTTCAGGAAACTCTGATTACAATGGCTCTCAAGAGGCACTGAACTCAAGAATGATCCTGTGTTCGTGCCTCATCAAGTGTACTTGCACAGACAGGTCACAGGCTGCAAGGCAGCCATATGGACCCAAGGCCAGTGTGAGATGAATACTGTCTCACCACTGCAGCGCAGATGGAGCCTATGCTGTTTCAGATTTTAGCTCCTCTCCTTGAGCAGAGATACAGCCTGGGAGACTCAGCTGGCCCAACATGAATTTAACAACTTAGCTCAGGACATGCTAAGGGACTCTACCGGGTCTATGACTCAAATCCCATGCCTGCATGCCTATCGCTAGCAGGGTGGTATGCAGAATTAATCAGTAGGATCTCCGCCATCTATTCCTATCCCCTGTGTTTCTGCTCTCTAAGGTTTAATCAAATCAATTTACAGTTCCACTCACCCTGCTGTACATGTGAGAAAGCAGAAGCTTTCACAGTTTATGTTACTATTTGATTTTATTTTTTTTGCAGATCTCAGCTTAGGATGCAAGTGAAAACTTCTCTTACACATTAGCCTGCCCGAAGGCACATGTTCTCATTATTGTTAGTGTTATACTATTGCCTAGAAATGCACTAAATGAAATTCTTGTCTTAGTGAAGCTAGCAAAGCCATGCCTGTTCTGTGATCACAGGGGCAGAACCCCTCCACACATGACACTCAAACACCTCTCTGTTTCATATAGCTTTCTGTGAAAGCTCTGAATCCTACTAATGAAAACATTAAACTTCATGAATATGACAGAAAAAATAAGCTATCCCTGTTTTACCTCCGAGTTATCCGAGTTCTTTTCCAACATGATACGGGTGTTTATGCAAGTGTCTTGTTTCACTATGCAATGCCACAATGGCTCCAACAACCACATACTTATTTCCAATTCTTTACAGCCACGTACTGGCACCAGCAGAACCTTGCTCACGCAGCCCTGACACCTGCAGTATGGCCCCAATATCCAGCATCATCCTTTTCTTTGGGTTTACCCTTACTCAAGACTGAAAATAACTCACTGCAGGCTTCCCAGGCATAACGTCCCTGGAAGCATCGCATTGCTTGTGCAGGTGATGCAGACCAGTGGATGGGTGTATGGCACTAACACATACTTTTATCACATGGACCTTACAAACAAAAGCTGTTTTGTGCAAGCTTCCTTTTGGTCCTGTTCAGCTCCTGTGACCTGCCATGCAGGGGAGCTTCTCCATCTCACATCTCTCTCAGATATCCCTCTCTACAGTTTCACCTAATGTAATGAAACACTGGGAAGAAAAAAGAACTCTTGGAAAGAGTATGTCTGACCAGTGCAGTCACCCCAGTATTTTTAATTACAGTAACAGCTAAGAAGAAGGCTGGTTGATTTCTGTCTCCAGGACTACCTCCTGAGGGGCTGTCCTTGCACCTTACCCATACACAGTCCTTGTCCAAAACACAGGTAGGTCTGGTGAGAAAGCCAGGGCTAAAAGGCATTCAAAGGTTCAGGATCAAGTAACATATACAGAGAAGGTCAGATCAGAGAGGAAAGCATGATAGCCCCAAGCTATTTTTTGAACCATAAAACCAGTCTCTCTCCCAGCATATTCCAAGGGATAGCACAGAGTGCTGGGACAAATCCTGGGACAGCTCCTAAACTCTCTCCATCACAGGGCTAATGCCCCCCCATTATTGTTTGCAAAAGCACATTGAAGAGAAACAAAATTCAGCAGTGTAGGAATGTAGCAGCCAGTGAAGAATTTGGCAGCAGGTTGGGTCCCTTAGATTCACTGCACAGACCTCTGGCCTTGAAGATAAACACCAGACTATCTCTGCTGTGCATGATCACCCCATAAAGAGGAATTTGGGATAATCCAACCCTGGGTTCTGTTCCAGAATCTAGAATCATAGAATGATAGAATTATTTAGGTTGGAAAGGACCTTTAAGATCATGGAGTCCAACCATTCAAGAAGGTACAGAATTTCACACGTTTTTACTGCACGCTCACCATTTCTGTCCTTAACACCTTCTTTCCCTTCTGGAACAGAAGTCCTATCCATTCCCACTACCCTCTTTCTTAATAGGGTCCTATAGTGATCCCATAGAATCATAGACTCATAGAATAGTTTGGGTTGGAAGAGACCTCTAAAGGTCATCTAGTCCAACCCCCCTGCCGTGGGCACATGTACCAAGTAGGTCAAGACTAGGTTCAGCTCACTTTAGGGGCCCATGATATTACTTCATTTCACATGGTCAGCACCAGTACCCTGCAAGGACAGATACCGCTGGTTTGCTTAAGGGAAGCTCTGCAATTGCCCCAACATCCTTTGAGTCACTTTTTCAGTGTTGCTTCAGGTCTCCCTGATGTACTGCAGGAAAAGCAGAGGTCTTTTACAGACAGGTGCCATGGTTGTACTCTTAAAGGCTATGCCAAGAGACAGATGTGGACAGCATAGAGTAGACACCAGCAAATGTTGGATGGAAATAGTATAAAGACCAAAGTTAAGCCAATGTTTTAGCTATAGTCCCTGCCAAAATGTGTGTCACTTCAAAAAAGCACACAAGCATTATGTTTTGCAGTTGCTAATTCTATTTTTGAGTTACTAATATTTCTACCTTTGCTTCTGATTTTGCCAGTAAAGAAGTGTTGCGAGCACAGTAGTCCCTATCAATGATGGTCGAGAGGACTGAATATAAGGGAAACCCCAGCACTGCCAAATGCAGAACTTCTTGTAAACAATGGGGCAATGGTTTGCTTGAATGTGCGTGGAGTATGGATGTGTGGATCTGTTCCTTTTGTTTTAGAGAGGAATGCAATCCTAAACAGCAGCTCACTATTGGACAGGACTTTATCCCTCCATGGGGCCTGCAGAGGAAGATCCTCTGGATGCTGGGACCACTTCTGTGTTAGAGCCCCTAACTGGTCCCAGTGCAATCCCCTCCCACACACACTTGAACTCCCACTCCTATAGCAGCTCTGCTCCAAACTGATACTCTATGGGGGAAAGAGGAACTGAAAATGGCATAGGGGAGGAATTGAAGAAGAAACGAAACTTGGCTTCATCCTCTACTGCTCACCACCCTACACCCATTGAAGCTGAGATACCAGGAGGCTCTGGGATAGATGGTGTGAGGCAGTACCTTAGGGGGCTGGGCTCTATAATGCATCACAGATTAAGTACCTCATCGTTTCGGCACACTCAGCAGCACATCCTTTCAGAAATGAGTGCGCCACGGAGGCCATGGTGGCAGCACATCATCCCTTCTCTGCCAAAACAGGAGATCTGAGCAACAGGGGAGTCTTTCTCGCTGTTTTTCTCAGCAGACACAACCCTGTCCTAGCCAGAGCCTCTGCAGTCCTTTCTTCTAGCATCAGCACAGTTAAACTGGAACCACGTTTGCACACCCCTATGGGAGAAGTTCAGGCTAACCTGGCATGTAATGATAGGCAATCCTGCTGCCAGTCCACTGAGACAAGACAAGAGACGGGGGCCCGGGGACAGCAGGGAGCCGGGAAGCGACCGGCAGATGGTGTTCACGGGCCCAGCTCCACAGCTGGCACAGCGCCGCCAGACAGGCTTCAAACCTCTCCCCAAACCCCGCTCCTCCCGGGACACACCCTGTGCGCAGCCACGGGAGGCACTTCTGCTTGCACACCTCTTCCTTAGACGGCTCGGCAAGACTGTGCTATTACTTTGATCTCTTGTTCCTATTTTTAGGAGAATTATTGCCAGGATAGTTTATGAGAACGGTAAATCACAACAGAGGACTGTCTACATGGAAAGGAGGTTTCGATATCAGCAGAGAGCATTACAAACCAGCAAAAACAGAACAGCAGGCAGTGACTGGAAGTTGAAACTAGACAGGCTCAGATTGAAACAAATCTGCCAGTCATGAGGGTAAGTATCGACTGGAATGGCTTACCAGGGGGCTGTGCACTTCTTGTAGTTCCTCCATCAAGATTAAGTGCCTCTTTCTGTTCTATTCCAATCAGAGAAAAAGATGGGACCCTGAAGCCCCTGACCTGGCTGTGCAGAAGCTCAGGCTGGGTGGGCTAGCAATCCCTTCTGCCTTCCAAATCTTGCAGCTCCTGCAGTGCCTTTGAGCTGGGAGAAACACTTACGCCACTCCCCTCACTGTCACTTCTGGGAGTGTCACTAGCCACTGCATGGTGGTGGACAGGCATATCTGGACCTGAAAAGGATGTCTGCAACACACCGTTGAGGAAACAGGAAACGTGAACAATGTGAGCAGAGCAGAGAACGTGTGACCCAGTGAAATCCTCCTGCATCTGTATTTGCTGCCTGGAAAAGGGACCAAGGTATCTCTCAAAACATTCAAAAGCAAGAACACAAGCACTTCCCTCCTACGAGATTTCCTAGGATCAGAAGTCCATATAGCAGGGGTACATGCAGGGGCAGACAAGAGCCAGCCACTCAACAGGCCTCATTCTCCATGGCAAGTGATGGGTTTCATTTGCTGTCTGCAGAAACACAGGGACAGGATTCTCCTGATGCACAGCAGAAAGGAACCAGAAATGAGCAGCAAATGCAAAAGGCATCTCAAAGCAGAAAGGGCACTGGAGCTTTTCAGCAGCAAACCATGCGCCAGAGTGCTATCAAAGGCAAGCGTATGAAATAAGAGCAGATCTATGGGGTTAATCCACCTAGTCCAGGACATCAGCACTGACAAGAGGCAAAAGGATGTGCTTTTTAGGGGAGAGCACATGAACCTGACTATTACCTGTGGCCCACTCCCCCTGCATCCACAGGCATTGGATTAGGGATGTCAGGGAGAAGAGGACAACCAGTGCAGGCAGGACAGCCACCCCACAGCATCACAACCTACGCAGAGGCTACACTCTTGACCAGGGAACAGTGTTTCATCTGTGCACTGTTAAGCAATGTGCTTTTTAGGGGAGAGCACATGAACCTGACTATTACCTGTGGCCCACTCCCCCTGCATCCCCCGGGCTTTGGTTTGGGGTTTCAGGGAGAAGAAGGAGAACAATGCGTGCAGGACAGCCACCCCACAGCATCACAACCTACGCAGAGGCTACACTCTTGACCAGGGAACAGTGTTTCATCTGTGCACTGTTAAGCAGATTGTCTAGAAGCATGTCTGAAGAGAACGACAATGGGTCAGACATCCTGGATGCTCCATTCAAAAAAGAGCACCCGCTATAGCCTGCATGTTGAAGCCCTGGCACTTGGTGTCTAGCTGAGCCAGCTCAGAACAGAGCAGCACGTCCAGCAGGGAAGCACTGGGGGTCCCTCTCCCACTCCACCTCTTCTGACTTTCTGACTATTTTGTTTTTCTTTTCTTTTTCACTCTTCTTGATGAAGTTAGCAGCAGCCCAACTCATCCTGTTCCTCTGGAAGACCACCAGGCAATGAGATCCCCTCCCAGTGGTGGAAAAAAAGAAAGCCAAAAGGGGTTTTACGCCACGAAGTGAGGCAACAGGGAGTGAAGGGCCCACACACATCAGTCCATCCCATGCTGACTGACCCCTTGAGACAAGTTCAGCCTTGCTCAATAGAGGAAAATCACTTCCCATTTTCAAACTGCAGGAAATCCCCATTCCCCTTCAAAGAGGGATCCTGGGGAGGAAACATCTGTGCACTTAAAAGCCTGAGCTCCCTGAAGATGTGTTAGCTCACATTGTGCTCCAGCAGAGTGCAGCCCAGGGGCTCTCCTGAACACACAACTCAAGGTAAAGCAAAACAATCCCAAAACCACAAATGCAGGCCCTGAGCAACCCGATCTAACTCTGAACAGGGGGTTGGACCAGAGACCTCCAAAAGTCCCTTCCAATTGAAATTCTTCTATGATTT